AGAGACCAATCCCAGCCTGTTTCTTTATGCACCAGTGCTGCATACCAAGTACTCTTGAGGATTTGAAAAAGCTAGCCTTTCCTTATGGACTTGTCACGCCAAAGCTTGGATTCTCTGTTACAATTAGAAAACAAAGTGACAGGCAAGCTGCTGTCTTTCCATAGATCTCTGGAAGAGGTTCAGAGGATGGGGTGAACCATACTCAGGGGAAAGAAGTGTTCACAGGGTTGCCAGTAGCAGCACTGCTTGGTACATCAGCTTACACAGAAAGTGCCCTCATGAAAGAGAAGAAATGGTAGATTGGCAGATGTTGTGATGTTGAGCATATGAAGATTAGAGCAGATGTAGTATTTAAGACTCTGTAGTATGTGGCTACAGATCATCACCAGAACATGAAGAGAAAAAAATCACTGGATTTCCACAAGCAGATGTTAATGCACCAAAGCTGGCTTCTTCTTAATGATTTGCCTTTTTGTTTGTTTGTTTTGATGAGTACAGCAAGTATGTTATTATGTGACTGTGGTAAAGAGCAGTGGTCTCTAATGATCACAACAGATTAATCCTTACGAAAGCTCTGTGAGTAGTAGCATTATTATTAATGCTGGCAAAAGTACTTAAAGGCAAAGTATGAATAAATGCAAGGTGTTCACATTAGCATTCTGTATGTTTGATAATGAACAGCCCCATGGACGTGCATTTGCTCTCACCATCTCCTCTGGAGCCTGCCACAGATGAAGAATGGGCAAAGTGTTGCACTGATCCTGAAGATGATTGTTGACTTTTAGGAAATGTCGTCCTACATCCTGTTGTAGCTTTGTTGTGGTTGTTGATATTGCTGGTTTCCTTTATTTCTGTAGTAGGAAGTCTGGGGGATTTGAAGCGTGTCTAAAATGCTTCTATTCATTTGTATCTTAGTGGACTTTGACTGTAATATGCAAAATAGCTTTATATAAAACAAATTACAAAAGTACATATAATTACAGAATATATATATATATGTATGTATATATAAATATATATATAATTACAAATAACCAAAAAGCTGTCACTCTACATTAAAAAAAACGAAAAGGAAGATGTTTAAAAAAAGGGGAAAATTAAATATTCCTGGCAGCTTCCCTGCAGCAGATCCACTATGCAGAAACCATGTAAAAATACTGACTTCCTCTCCCTCTATCATTATTCTCTTTCTCTACATTTATGATTTTTTTTAACTGTTTGATAATTTCTTTCTCATTCCTAACACAAGTTTCCTGAAAGTCTTGTTACTGGGTTGAGGGTAAAATCAGATTCAGAAGAAAGTTTCTATTTAGTGACTGGGCATGTGGAACTTCCCAGTAGCCTGTGAAACTTGGTGCTCCTGCTTCTTGGGCAGAGCTGTGCTTGGAGCAGCCACAGGAGGTGGTGCCCCACTCCTGAATCGCTAGATTTTTCCCCTGAAGGAAGAACCAGAAGCATCTCCTTGAAGCCTTACAGGTGGGGCAGCATCCTGCCAGTCAGCACCAGCTGTTAGCCAGTCACCCCTCCAGGCAGTGGCATCCTGAACACTTCAAGCTGCCTTGACTTGGTCACTTAATTGGATGGAGGGACAGGTTGAATTTTGCCCTCAGCTTCCTGAGCTTGTCTGCACAAGTCACTCCACTGTCCTTGTCCCTGCTGTGCATCCCCAAGTTCTATCTTTAAAGTGAGATAAAATGAGCTGCCAAGGTTTTGGGTGACTTGTCCAGGGTACCTTGATGGGTCATTTGGTCAAGCAAGGTGGGAGCAGATGTTGTTTTGTCAGCACAGATGCTGCCCTGGACAGAATGGTGTGTTCCTCAGCTCCTTGTCTCTTGGGAAAAGTCATCTGTGAATGTGCAAGAAACATGCTGGACCTTATGAACAACAACTGGAAAAGAGACAAGGGATACTGCTGTTTTATTTATTTACTCATGTGCTCCCAAAGTGGCAGTGTGGCCAGAAGCACTAATGGGGCTTTTTGAATATGGGTTCAGGAAATGCTCCTGGGGTTTCAGTCTAGGGCAAAGATGTCATTGGTGTGAGAGAAATTTTGGTCTGGGAATGAAGGTGTGTGTGTGTCCAGAAGGACTCTGACCAAGCTGTTCAGCATTTGAAGAGAGGGATGAAGGGAACCTGAAGATTATAAGCATTTCCCTGGAAAATAAAACCCTCAGGCCTTGACACACATCCTGTGGCATATAGCAGGCTGTTAACTAGGTGTTAAACTACTGAGTTTTATAGTGCATTCTTCATCACTGAGAGTTTTTGAAACCACAAGTTGATTTGTTAGTAAATGTAACTAAAATGGATGTGTTTAGTTCAAACTGGCATTCATTCAGGGAAGCCTTCTCACCTGTGTAGTAAGGCATATCAAATTGGATACTTGTGCTAGTCCTTTTGATTTATGAATTTATTAACATTTTTTTCAAATAGTGTGTTCACTGAATATATTTCACAGATTGGAAAAGATGTTCTGTGTGATTGTAAAACTTGTTGTGGTCAGCAGTTTGTAGTAATTTTTGAACAGGAATGCATTTTCCTGTAAAGTACAACTAACTTCCACCCCCTCCTCTTTGCCTCTACCCTGGCTTGTGAGTTGGTTCCAGTTTCAAATACTTAATCATGGGAATTTTTGGTGTTTTATATTCTGGGTAGAATTCAGAGATTGCAAACTTTCTGTGATCCACTTTATTGCAGCAAGATTCTTTCCAGAAACATTATACTGTGTGTTGCTGTTTTGTGACTGGGGCATGTGGTAAATCTACTTCAAGAATGAGTCAGTGCCAGATTTCTATGTTGTCATGCATATAGACCAAAATAAGAAACATCTGTCCTTTTTTATTTAATTAATTGAAAAGAAATATATAAGTACAAACTATTATAGGTAGTACAAGGTGATGCACAAGTGAAATAAAAAGAGCCACTTGGAAGCGTAGTCTGGAGTTTATTTTTAAAAAAGTAAATCACTAAATATTATTTACTAATAATTAATCTTGACATTTAATATTCTGCATCTCTCTAGGGGTCACCACTATTTGTCTTGTGATGATGACCTGTGTCTATGTGGAATGCTATTATCATCTTTCAGGGTCTGAAATCAATTGCAATTTTTCACCTCTGTTGAAGCTTGCTGTTGTGTTTTTACATATTGACTCCAATTCCATATTTTAGAAATTATTTTTTCTTTCAAAATGTTTTATTGCTGTGCTGTTCTTTGGGTCCTTCTTTAGAGGGACACATCCTTCCCTTCTGTTCACATTTTTCATGCAGAGCAGATTCAGCATAACTGTATGGAAACCTGTTCCTGGCCCTGAAAGCTAAAATTGGAAGTATACTTCTCGTAGGTTAGTGTAAATAAAACCCAATTAATTTTGCTTTAATAACTGCAGGCAGGATGAACCTTAGCTCAATACAAATTTTTCTATAAGCTCACAGGCAGTCCTCTCAATAAAGACAACAAAATTACTGTCATATTTATCATGCTGGGGTGTTTCAGCTCCATGGGATAAACTTGGCAGTGTTCTTCTGAGTTCTTGGAAAGCAGCCCTATACATCTCAGTTTGCAGCATTCCAGCAGATCAGGAAAAAACTATCTCTCTTTTTTCACCCTTCATATTTCATATAGTGATAGTGCTTTCCCTGAGTGCTTGTTACAGTTATTTTTTTGGAAAACAACATGCATTTTTCTGTACAATGTTGGCCGATAACACAACAAGACTATACCAGTGCTCTTCCCTTAGATTAAAAAATCTCAGTCTAAACAAGATTGAGAGAGTAAGGGTTGAGTGAAATGTTTTAGTTCAGAATTTCTTCATGAACCTAGGCAGAATTTTAATATGTTTTGGAAAAAAGCAAATTATTTATTTTGGGGGAAGGCAGGTTATAATTGTAGAAGCCTCTGTATCACCTTTAAAATATCATAAATATAACTAATATATAACTAATATAACTAAAATATAACTAAAGATTTACATAATTTTTATATTTGGTTCAAAATGCTTTGCAAATTTGATCATAAATATTTCATGTTCCTGAATGAAATAATTTCTTTTGGTTTACAGAAAACTTTGAAAAATAACTATAGTTTTTTTTAGCAGAATTGTAACCACTCAGATATTCAGTCACATGTGTCGCTCCTTGCCCTCATATTTAGAGCCTTCTCAAAATTACAGGAAGGTGTAAAATAGCAAATATTTTTAAATTTTTTTTTTCACTTTTGTTTCTAATTTTTCCTGAGCAGTGTTTGTCCTGTCTGGTACTTGCTGCCATGTGACTTCTTGTGACACTTCTGCCTTTGTGTGTGCATCAGTAACTTAAATGTTGGACACAGTGCTTTGGACTTTCGTTAAGACCAAAAAGTAATATTACTGAAAAAGTATTAGTCAGATACAATAGATAATTTTCTTCAAATTTCTACTTTATATTTGTCCTGCTGTTCTTCTAATACCTCATTAGGCACTTTTGCTTGCTCATGGAGACGTGCATTTCACAAGCATTCACTTCCTTTGCTCTTACGGTAGTTTTAGTTGTTGGTGATCATGACAAATTGAAATCGAGCAGTTGTAGCAGTTTAGTGAAGATTCAACTAGACAGGAATGTCAAGAGTGCACTAGCTTGTTTTTAGGAGCACTATCAATGCTCCCTTTATCCTGTGGGAACAGTTGTGCCTTTGTTTTGGTGGTGCTGTTTTTTGGAAGATGAGTGAATAAGAGACCATTGATACTTTTCCCCCCACAAAATCTCATGTGTGTTCTTTGCCTGGCATGCTGCTCTCTGAAGTGTAAAACTAGTGTGTCACTTTGATTTTCACATATTTAAAGACCTAAAAATGGGGGAGGAGCAGTGAGTACCAACTCTGCAGGTACTACTGGATTATTTTATCCTGAGACTCATAAAATGAGGCTATTCCCTGGCAAAACCACGGAGCACCAGTGCTGGGTTCCCAGGCCTCTAACAACTAGACACGTGTTGATGAAGGATGAGGTAATTTCCAGATGAAGGGTGGATAGTGCTGCAGGAGTAATGGGGCAGGACAGCTGTGGTGGGGATGGTCTCCTCACAGGTGGCTCCCACCGTTGGGCTCCGTAGGCGTCTGAGGTAGGTCCCGCAGAGGGAAGGAGCAGGGAAGGTGGAGGAAAACAGTGCGTCACTGCCAGTTCGCTCTGTGCGTACCTATTTTTTTCATTCAGTTCTCCCTTTGGTTGTAACAGGACAGACTTTGCATGACAGATGGCTTATTGTTTCTCTCCTATAAGCTGCTAAAAGATTTCTGAGCAGGAACTCACAGTGTTCCTTTGGGAAAGGCACTTTGCAAGATCTGGGCACTGTCTTAAGGGACTCGAGATCCAAATCACGTAGACCATGGGCAGAAAAAAAGTGGGGGGGGCTTAATATGTAGCATTCAAAAATACATTTGCTGCTTGTACTAGACCCTCTTTAGTCTGGGATTCAGAAAACATAATGATTTCCAGATATAGCCAGTATTAAAAAATACAATGTTTTGGTGTTAAAATGTTAGTTGAAACTAATGGAAAAATACTGAAAATATAATCTTCCTGTAGAAAAAATCAATCTAAATTTACATATTGATAAGAAGCACAGGACCTTTAGAAACATCCATAATGAACCTTATGCTTTTGTAGATGGTAGAGAATGTAAGCAAATTTAATCAATTCTTTTCTAGTATTTTTTAGTTATTACAAAAATTGTGTCTAAATATAAGTATATAATAGTTGTGGAAATAAAATATACAGAATATTTCAGCTTAGATACTCAAGGTCTATCTGGTCTATACCCACAACAGCGAGTGGCTAGACCTCTGGCCCTGTATTTTAGTGCTAGAGGCCCTAAAATACAGGGCCAGAGAAGGCACACTACATAAGGAATGGTTACTCAAAATCAGGGAATATGTTCTGTGTAAATTTCTTTCAGAATTCTCTATACCATAAAGTAAGACAAGAGCCTGGCTCTGGCTGTTTCAGTTTCACAATAATATTTTTATGGATGTGGTATCAATTTAAAGCTCATCCTGTGGCTTTAATTCATCACATGAAAGCTGACTAATCTTTATGTATATTTGTGGATATTTTAGCAAGCACAAAATAACATTATGCTTAATAACAACTTATTCCTTTATTTGTTTTGTTTAAAGATATCATGAATATTGAAGAGCAAGTTTGATTAACATTAAATTTGTTTGTGGTTCTCAGGCATATCCAGTATCTTACAGAATCATGGTAGAAAGTAGTGGAAGAATAACCAGGTGTAGACTTGCAGAAGTAAACAAACCTAAATTTTTTTACCTTACGACTAAAAGAAAATGTGTTATACCTCTGGCCTGTCATTCAAAAGTTTTGGTGATATTCCTAAAAATACAGAAAAAAAACATTCAAACCTGGCCCTGTAAGAAGACAAAAGGTTACAATTTAAAAAACTCAAAAAGTGCCACCAGAAAAAGACAACTTTTGAGCAGGCTGGTGTGAGGTGCTGAACAAATGCAGAGCTGGACCCCTAAGTGTTTAGAGCTGGATCATGTAAAAGGCTACAGACAACAAGCTACTTGTTTCCTCTCAGGAATCATGTGAAAGCTTTCAAACCTTCCACAGTAGGTGAGATCTTACCTCCCTCTAAGTTAGTGGGGCTTTATACTGACTCACCTAGGAGCAGGCTTACATTCTCATGATCTGATAAAAGTAATGCTGAATGAATTAAAAATCATGTTCTCAGAGATGTTCTGGCTCGGTGTTAGACCTTTGAGTGATGCAATATCTTTTCTGTTTTCCTGTGAAGATCCATTACTTGATAAACCTCATTATTAGTTTTGGGGTATTTTTGTTATTGTTTCTTTTTCTTTAATGATTCCCATGTCAACTTCCCCAGATTTGAATGACATAAGGAGCTCCCTTGGTGACCAAATTCCTGTTAACAGTTTAAATGTGTTCGGGGAAGGGAGGAGGATTTGCACTCAGCAAAGGATCTCCAGCTCACAAGCTCTTATTTTATTCTTTTTACTTGAAGCTTCATAACAAGGATGATTTATTTGCAAATGAGTTACTTTAATAATAGGTTTAGAGTTACATAGAATATAGACAATCTTGACCCCCATCTCTGCAGCTGTAAAAGTAACAGCATGGGTGTGGTTGCCTGGTGGCTGGCCAGGATGATCCAGTTCAAGGGGGTGGATAAAATAACATTTACACTTACAGTAACTGTTTAAAAATGTAATTTGAGTTCTGCCAAATCCTTCCAGTTCATTTTGGGAATCCAGCTTATTAAGGTTGCCAACACTCAATTCTTCACACCTTAGTTTCTTCCAAGTTGTCTCCTTCTGCCAGATGCATTTTGCTGCAATACTGTCACTGCAGAGCATGAGGTTCCTCCACCAGCCTTGCTGTGTACATGGTTCTGGTGGGACTCTCCTTGCTGTGAGCCTGCCCAAGCAAGAAGTGACTGAGCCTGGCCCGTGAGACTCAGCATGGAGGGAGGACGCAATCCCAGAGGAAGTGTTCCACTTACAGACAGCTCTGTTTGTGTCTGCTGCAGTAAATGCTCCCAAGACAAGTAGGGTCAGGCATTTGTTGGATCTTGAGAAAGCATGTGGTGGAGAAGATGGAGGCTTGGAAGCTGGAACTTGTCGGTCTGAGTTGGAATTTCAGAAGTGTTCCCAGGCAGTGTGGGCAATGGGAATCAGGCACCATGTCTAAACAACAGAATGAGGTCTTGAACACTTTGCAGACCCACAGCTGCTTAAAAAGGGGCAAGTGTTGTCTGAAATAGCCAGTTCGCTCCAAATGGACTAAGTGCTCACTCTCTCAGTGTTCCTGCTAAGGCAGCACTTGTTTGAGGACACAGGGTGATCCTGCACTGTGGCTGGCAAGGCTGTCACACATAGCTTTGCTGTGTCTAGTCCTTGCAGCTCTAACCTGCCTCACCACAGTGCTGAGCAGTTGTGAAGTGCTGCAGCACTCTGGAACAAAAAGTGGAAGGCAGCAGTTATGGATAGGAATAGCAATCACTTCCAGTGCCATACTGTGAGCTGTGCTTACTCGTGTAAACTGATGCATTATAGGGGTTTTTAGATAAGGAGCCCCAGCAGGGTGGTGCTTGGGCTGCTGCTGCTATTGCAAAGAAAATTGTTTCAGAGAGTTTGCAGTCTCTGCTGTTTCAAGGTCTATGTTCACAGCAAGTCAGTCCAACCCAGCATTTGGGAATACTCACAAAGCTCTTGCTAACACCAACCTGTCGCATGACAGCATCCATAACTAATGCAGAATGGTTCACAGATCTTAAGACCTTAGGGTCCACTGTCTGCCCCGTCTTTATTATACCATCATATTTCGTTCACTTTGGGTAAAATACGTGTTTTTCAAATCAGCATCTAGTCTTGAATATGAGAGAGGTGTAGAATCACCTCTTCAGTGACTTGTTCACATGGCAAATTATTGCATGCACTTGTTAAATCAATCTTTCTCCCTTGAATTTAGCAAAGTTCTTCAGGTTAAAAAGATGTGCTTTTTTTCAGATTAAAAAGCAGTCTTAGTACCTTTTCTTTGTGAAGGTATACACAGGTGCACATGGTCACCAAGTCAGCCTTGTTTTGTGTCTTGATCCTGCAGTGTTAAGATTTGTGTTCTTTTGTCCACTATCTTCTCTTATCCAACACAATTAGAACCCTTTGCTGATTTCAAACAAGTTTGAAAGAGTGTAGAAGTCTCAAAGAAACTTCTTGCAGGCTTGATGAAAAATTGGCCTGGGCAGAGGAGAGAGATTCAGACAAGGGAGACCTCATGTGCCATACACTATTTGGCAGCACATGGCCAGCCAGTCAGTGGGAAGGTATTTATAGGCCACCTGCAGTACACATTAGAGGAGTCAGAATAGACACCAAACTGGGAAGACTTTTCCTCAAGTTTTGTTTACATCAAGCCCATTTGCACTAAAAAATTATATGAATTTATGCATCAGGAAATGTGCTGTTCATAGAACATGTTCTCTTTATTTTTTTTATAAAACTTATTGGTTTTAACTTTTTAAGCTTTTCAGTAAATTCTATTTTCTTCTGCTCTCAAGTCCTCTGTGTCTTCTTGTCTTTCCCTTTTACTCTCTCCAGATTTTTCAAAACCTAAAGTATGTGTACCAGACTATATGACTATATGTACAAAACTGTTACTGATTTTAACAATGTCTTGTTCACAGCCTTACTTTCTCCTTTCTTCAAAACTTTCCAGCTTTTCTTGCTGTAGCTTTGAAAGGTGAATGTTGCTTATGTGTCATGAACCCCAACTAGACCTTGTAGCTGATGATTTTTAATGTGGTGACTACCCAGTTCTGCAGACAGAGGCTGTTTCTGAAAGCATGGCCATTCTTGGCTCTGGACACAGTCTCTAGAATAATGTGAGGAGTTTTCCAGATCACTCTATTCAGCCACTGTGGTATTCTCAGCAGGGCAAGAAGCCCTTAATCAAATTAGTTTTAGCTGATAATTATTTTTTCTTCTACTGAAGTAAAATACCATAGCGCTTTTGAATAGTGCCCAAAAAACTCTGAAATAGAAATGAACAAACTACATTGTCTCATATATGAGAGCTAAAAATTACATCACTGATGGAGTAAGACATCACTGAGGACAATATAATCATATTTTAGAATAAATCTGCTCATTTTCCATAATACACTGACTTTCGGTTAGTCTGCAACAAAAAAGTGGTGGCTTGCCTGAGGTCCTACATACATGGTGTCAGATGATCATCAGTGTCTTTAGAACCACTGCATATAGACTTTATGAACATATAACTCTGCATTTAATTTTATATTAAATTATTTTATTTATTACTATTTTTTATTTTAAATTTATTTTATTTTTATATTTTCCTTACCAGGAGAATATTCTTAACAAGTTCATTGAAAGCCATTGGATACTCCTTTTTGAATTTCCTTTAAAAGTTTTGAAACTCTGCATTTTCTATAGGAAACTCAATGTTGGTTTTTAAAGGAAAATCACTATAAAAATCTTCAACACCTTTAAATAAGGTGTGGATATTTCTTTTTTTCTCCACAAGCTTCTATTAAAAATTTCACCAAATTAAAGTGATTCAAAC